TCCTTCCCTCCTTCCCTCCTTCCCTCCTTCCCTCCTTCCCTTTTCAAATGTTCCTTTCTTTTCTGAAACAAATACTTAATTCCTCCAACTTTGAAGGATTTGGAAGGTAAACAGTAACCTCAGAAAAATGAAGCACCATCTTTACAGGTGATATTTTAGTCTGCTTAAATTTTGCATGAAGCTTCTGTTTTGTCCTGCTCAGAAGTGAAATTTCAGGAAGTACCTTGGAAATGTTGCTTATTGTACTTTGATATATATCTTATATACTGAGTTGCTGCAGACAATGATCTCTACTGGGCCAATGGATCTGAACTACTCTGAATTGTTGGTTGAATTGTTGAATTGTTTTTTCAGATGGTCAAACTTGCTTGTTTGCCTTTGCTCCCGGTCCTCCTGCAGAGTGGATATGAAAATATCCATAGGAGCTACCTAACACTTTAGATAGCTTCTTTAGTTTTTTATTGTCTCTTCATGTACTTTTAGACTCCATTCTCAAATGTGATGCAAGTGAAAGGAAGAGGAATAGAGAAAGTTAAACCTCATGAAAATCAGAGACAGCTACAAGAGAAACACCGTTTACAACAACCTTCACCTTTGCAGCCTCCTCAGACATCAAATGTCAAGTAATTAAAAAATCTTATTTCATTATTATGAAAATAGTATTAAACATTAAGCTATAAATGTTATAAATTCAGCCTTATGGACACGTTTGGAGTAGAAGAAAGGTCACCCTCTGAACGCTGGATCTGAACACTTTACAATTTTGTAAGCATGTTTTGTTGTGAACTGTCAAGTTCATTTGGTATCTCTAATTTTGACTTGATCTTTATCTCTTTGAAATAGTTCTGATTTACGATTTTAAAAATCTGGAGTTCCTATTCAATCTGCTCTGTGTAGATGAAACTACTTGACTGCAGCAGAAACCGAAGTTGCTTATTGGGGGGTTGAATTTGTCCATACAATTCCAAGCGTAATCTAATCAAAATAATTAAAAACAAACAATGGAAAATACCACAAATTTAATATAAGCAATGCCATCTGTAAGCTATCATCTTTAAATAGAGAAGATGTATTAAAAATTCATCAACTTGAATTTGTATTACAGTCAGTGCTTGTCTGAAATTCAGGAGGTTTTACTTGGAGAGCTATAATTTAAGGGCAACTGCTTATTCCCTTGCTCTTGTCATAGGTGGCATCTGTCATTCTGCTGTAGGAGTGCAAGTCTGAAAAGCAGTATAGACTGTGCTCTAATTTAACTGATTTTGTCCATCCCATGTCAAGGGAGACTCCTCAGTTTTATGATCTTCTGTGCTAATAAGATCTTTATGACTAGCTTTGTTTAGATGTACCATAAGTTGCTTCTTCACTTCTCTCTTTATTGAGGTTAAAAAAAAAAAAAAAAAAAAAAACCTTTAATTATTAGCTTTTGTTGTTCTTAGGGTCCTGAAAGGTCTATCGGACACAGAAGAGAGCCTTTTTATGGCAGGTCTAAAGTTTGTAAATGGATAATACTTTCAATTAAGTAGTTGGGAATAGTCATGGGAAAAGAATGCTTAAGTTTATGAAACAGTCAAATTGGCATTTAAGTGACCCTTTGCATGCCATTGCTTATCTGCATTGCTTAAAGATCATTTGGTTAGCCAGATTATATATTAAAACAAATACTGACAACAGACAATGAGTATTTTACCTTCAATAAATAGTTACTGTCAGATTATCAACAGTGCAGAAACTGCATGATTTTCTAAAAAAACCCTGTATTTAGTGCATTAAGTGAAGGCAATGTAGGCCACACACGTAGTATTGTTTTTTCATGTCCCCTTTTTCAAAGAATGATAAATAGTCTGTTTTAGAAGAGTGTGCTGTAAAAACATTCACCTTTAGCTACAACATGCCCTAAATATTTTAGTTTACATTGATAAAACATTCATTTTTTTTCATTCAATGAAACAATAAACTCCAATGTGAGAGCAGTAAGAAAACAATCCAATTAAAGATACATTTAAACTTCACTGATTTTTGTAAATTATTTTAAATGAATAAAAACGTGGAGAAAAGTATTGCATAGATTTCAAATCATCTTGTGTGCCTTTGTTTATAGAATTCACTCTAACTGACAATAAGATTTTGAAAACTGTTTGCTGTCTAATTTTATTTTTATTTTTTAATTACATTGTAATTATATTTTAGAGAAAGTGAAATGTGTTGCTATAGCATGAGATAAACTATGTAAATGTATATGGTGTTTTGTGTATTTTTTCCATTTAAAAAAGCTGTATAAAATATTATTTCTAATTTTAAATTGAATGTGATCTACCTGTTAAAACAATGATCTTTGATTTTCCATGTAAAATAACTTGTTTATTGTAAATTATTGTAAARTAAGTTGTTTATTTCCATTTACACAGCAAAATGTATGAAATTGGGTCCTACAAATTATCCATTGAATTACATGGGGTGACTGCAGGTTTGCCCTAATTCCTCATCAGCCTTGTGTTACTATAGCAGTAAGTTACTTTTCAAACTGGACATTTTGTTTTTAAAACTTCTACATTTTATTTCTTAGACTCAATGTTGTTCTCCTTATTCAGGTAAAACTATCACTAATTTTAGCAGACTTTGGACTATAGGAGCTGGTGAAATTGCTTCTTGCTGAAGACTGAAGTAACAAGGCTCTTCTCTGTATGTTAAGCTGCATGGCTTAAGAAAAAACATTTAAAAAGTTTTTCCCAAGAAAGGAAAAGCAAACCTCTAATTTACTGAATGAAAAGCATCTTAAAAACCCTTCATCTCTATTTTATAGGAAAATTTCTTAAGCATGTGTGGAATATCTGTGACATTACATTGCTTTTTTTTTTTTTTTAACTTTGTATATCCAATTTTTACTGTTGTTAGTTTTCCATTCAAGCAAGCAAATATAAAATATTATTTTAGTAATGTGAATAGGTGTCACATGATAAATTCAATTTGTATTTTTCCTTATTTCATTGTAATTCTCGGTTTTCCCCTTTATACCATTTCTTTATGCCACAAAGCGCATTCTTCAGAAAAAAACAAGCAAACAAATTTTTGAAAGTGTCATTGATTCTGGAGAACCTTAGAAAACTAGTTAAACCAGAAAACTATTCAGTGTAATTTCAAAGTGGAATTTTAACCATTTTCATTTGGGATTTTCTTTTAGAAGATGAAGGCATTTAGGAACTTTAATTAAAGTAGGATATATTTGGGGGAAGCATTGCTGATTTTTTTGCATCTCAGACACTTTCCATATACTGCTCTTCACATCGTAACTGTCTGCACGTTAGACATTTATTAACTTTGTAGAGTTCATACAGTAGCCGAAGTCTGTTTTTAGAACTTGATCCATGGCCTGTTGAAGTCAATAGACTTTCATCACCTTCAGTGCAACTTAGATTGGAGGGTGAAATGGTAATTTTTTTAGTTATTAACTTTTCAAAGATAGCCAAAGACACTGCGTTTCCTCTAAAATCAACAGCTTAATTGAAAAGTTAAGAAAAAGTTCAAGTGTCATGAACCTAATTCAGAGTTTTAAGAGTGTTTACAAGGTACTTGGTTAGGGGAGAGAATTTGCAGATGAGCGTACATGTAACATTTTAACATAACRTTTATTCACGTATCCAGCTTAAGCCATAAACTTACATTATGCTCTTGGGTTAAATGTTCAATATGGCAAGTGAATGCTCTTAGGAAAGTAAAACTTTGACTTCTGCATTTACTTTTTACTCTAAAATTACCATTTTTAAGGCTTTGTTCTGTCTTTTGTAAAAAAGAAAAACAACCCCCCCACCCTCTCTATCCTTAATAGAAATTTATAATATATAGATATTAATATTGTTTCTTTTTCTCTGTTCTAGAGATCAACATCGTCCAGAAATTCATCGTCTTTGTACTGCTTTTCCCAGTTTTATTTTGCCTCCTGATTTACAATTGGCTTCTAGAATCTATCATACCTTAGACAGAAGAGGTCACAATGTCTTGCTCATAGGAGAGGATATGAACAATAAGGAGGAAGAACCCACCAGTTCAAAAAATAATTATTTGAAAGAGCAAGCTGAAAGGGAAAGGTATGAACTTGAGTTTTTTTTCTCTTTTTTTTTTTTTTTTTGTAAAGGATTGTAAAGGATTAAGAAATAACTTTTCTGGTCATTCAGTATTTAGTAGTTTAATAGAAGTGGCACAGAAAATTACTGGAAAATGATTGCCTTATTTTGCCAGGTATGTTTTAAAATAGTACTAGCCTTAAGGCTAAAAGGCTTATATTCTGTTCAGAATGTAAAATCTACTGTTTATTTTTAAAATAAATCACATTTTGTAGATACATTTTAAAAGATATGTCATGGCTTAGGTTGTAAATCTATGAATGTTGATAATTCATTCCACTCACATGAGAAGTCTCATTGAAATCACAAATGCTGAACAAATAGAGTAGGTTTTCTGTGAATGTCAAATTCTGCAAGAGTAAAAAGTTTAAAGTCCAGACGCACTAGCCCTTTATCGCAGAGACTATTTGCATCAATCCTGATTCTGCAAGCACTTAGGAATCAGCATTGCTTTAAGTAACTGAGTGTAGTTTTGTTGAGTTCAACACATGAGCASAGTAAAGCACATACCAAACTGGGGCCTTGCATAGATTCCTGGTATTCTTTGCATAGAGAAGGGGTGCCCATTGGATGACTGTAGGCTCCTGTGTGTTTAATGTATGGGGAACTAACTTAGAACAAAATGAACATTAGGTTAGTTAGGTTATTTTTGAGGGGGAAAAAAATCATGTTAAAAATGTCAATGCAACATATCAAACTGTCAGAAAATTTGTTTTTTAAATAGTGAGGATGTGTTTTGGAATCTACCTATTCACTTATTCTATTACCAATTTTTATATTTGATTTTTTTTCTAAATCTTTATCCTTTTTTGACATATTTTGCACTAAAATAGTGTGAAATAAAGCTAGATAATGAATATGAGCAATAAATAATTTTTCATTGCTTATTACTTGAGTCCATGTTTCGCCTTTTTTTTTTTTTTCTTAGTTGAGTTCAACTTGAGAATTCATCCATAGAATTGGAGCACTAAATTTTTCCTCGTGATTTTTCAGGTTGACTGCTTGATACTTAAGTTTTTCTATATCACCAACCCTAGAAATATAAAATAATTGCTCATAAAATTTGTAGGTGACCCAAAGAATGGCAGAGTGATAAATAAGGATAAAGATAGTCTGTTTTACAGAGCAATTTGAATAGCTTGTTAAATTGGGCTCACTTGAAAAACATGCATTTTAGTGCAGACAGATGCAAGGCCGTAAGGATAAGAATAGGGAATAGGGGTCATGCTTTGTAGGTGGGGACATTGTATCCTGAAAGGAGCTTTTATGGTCTTGATAGATAAGTGACTGAAGATGGCTGCACGATACTCTATGAACTAACTAGCTTAAAATACAGAAGGTAAAATATTAGCTGTAACACAGAAAAAAAAAATCAAGCTAGAAATATTATACAGGGCTCTTCTATTCCTGGCAAGTGCTCTAACAAGTGAGATACAGTCATGCCACCACTTGTCCTCTCTCTTGGCTGCAGGACTTCTGCATTCTTTTCTGCTCAATAGCACTTCTTCCTGTACCCAGAATGGTCAAATAATCTAATGGAGAGTGAGGTTTGAATCCTCTGATAGGCAATAGATTTTCTTTTCCTGACTGTGCTTTTAAGTAGTGGATTATCATAGATAGGTGGAAATTGCCATTTTTTTTTCCTGCTCACCCTGACTGTCTTACAATAGAAAAAAAATCACATTGCCCCTCTTTGAAAGAATGGACACATCTACCCTCGTGTTCTGGATTTGAAAAAGAAGGAAGTTTCCATTGGCAGCCCCTGAAAAATCTAAACTGCAGAGAAGAGCAACAGATTTCCTGTGGGTTAAATCTGTGATTCTTCTTCCATATGCAGGTTTGTAGGAATGTTGTGTGCTTAGTGTGGAGTCTAGATGCTTAATGTGGCCCAAATATCATTGTGGTAGAGCAAACAGAATCGTCGACCCTTGAGCGTTATCTCTCCTTTGCTTTAATACCTTCATTAAGACCTTGAAAAAGAGCATTATGTTTTTTTTTTTTTTTATGCAAGAGATTTAAGAGATGGCTTGAACTTGTTACCTGCATAATATTGTTTCTGACTGAAGAACATTTTCTAGACAAAAGCATTGCAAACCCAGTAGCTGAAATCTCAGCCTAGGCAAATTGAGAGTAGATGGAAGAGTTGGATATATAATAAAAGAAGGAACAACTTGTGAAATAGCTTACTCATGGGTGAATTGTTACTTGCAGCCTTTAGGTCAAGACTGGATGTATTTCTGGGGTATAAATGACTTTCAGCCAGAGATGGTGATGAAGCCATAGCGATGAAGAAAGAGCTTGATGCAGAAACACTAGTGTAATTCTTTTATTTGTATTATTTGAAAAGTCAGGTTGGATGGTCATAGTGCTTTTCTTTGACCTTGAGATCCATGGATCCCTAAAGTTGCCATACAAAAGTTGCTAGTTGATTCCCTTTAATGCAATCAAGATTAGCCTACCCAACAAGCATGATTTCATTCAAGGGTGCAGGCTTATGCACTGACATTTCCTTTTGGTCAATGTGAATATCTGTATTTGGCAGAAATTTGAGTACATATGGATGTCACTCATTGCATTATTTACATGTTTGTGTGTTGGACGGATACRCATAAAATATAAGGATGTAATGAGAATACAGTGTCAGTATTATAAGCAGGTTTTTTTTAGCATAGTAGTGACCCAGCATTTAAATATTTCCATTAAATATTTTATAGGTCACAGTGGAAGAGGTTTTAAGGACATTTTAAGAGTGAATAATCTCTATTAAGTTTCCTCAAGTGTGAGACGCAGCATGGGGAAAGGCAAAAAGATGTTAAAAAAGGGAGGAAAAAAAAGGTATGCAGGATATGTCAGTTACTGAGTCAGAAGTCACTCAAAATGGAAGATGACATTTCTTTAGTGATCTAAAGGTGACAGGAAAGGAAAAGGTTGTAAAGGTTTTGAAAGCAGAGAAGCAGCTTATATCTGAATTAGCTTCCCTTTTTTATCAATTATTTCACTTTGAATGGATGTGAGCAGAGCAGTTGTGCTAGCTGTAGTATTAGGCTAAGAAAGGGATGCTGCAGTAACTGAGACGTGAAATTAGAGACCAGATTTTTAGCTTGTTAGAGTGATTAGAAAAAGTGTTTAATATGTGTGAATGATGTCCAGAAAAGTTCTGAGRTGGGGTGCCTGAGGGGGTGCCATGGTGAAGGAGGTTGAAAAGGGAAAGGTTCAGGAGATCACTGTATTTTCAGTCTTGCTGAGCTAGCACTGGCAGCTCTCTCAGGAGGAAGATAAGTTGACATTTTTGTTTGTGCTGAGTGGATTAGTGAATCGTGCTCTGATTCATAATCATGCAGAAGATACCTGTTTGTTTTTTATCTACAAAATTGCTAGAAATATAGAGTATAGGAGGAAAAGATTTCACTGAATCATAGAATCCCATGAAATGTGCAGAAAATTGAAGCAATTAAATGGGAATAAACCTAGGAGAGATGAACTATGGAAGCTATGGGAGAACAGAATTTCCAGAAGAAAATAGCAGCTGACAGGCTAAGGAAGCCGAGGAGGAATCTGAGGTTTGTGTAATAGTGAATACTAGATATTTTGGAAAGAAAAGTTTCAGTGGAGGGTTGCACTGTCCAATTAAGAGAGTTAAGAAAGATGCATATGCCTGAAATTCTTTGCTGGGTTTATTTAATACTCTAGGTCTAGAAAACTAAATTATTTGGAGCACTGCCATCTAGTGGCACCCTCTACTCTCATCGGCTTTTAATTTTAGAACAGGTTTCTGGGTAAACTTTGAAGGTCACAGGTATAATTTATCTGACACWAGTTTAGGCATCTTTAAGAATGTAGCTGTCCACATTTCATTACTGATCAGTTCCCTGCATTTGACTAATTTCACAACTGCAAATAATCTAAGTAGGGTTAAGTATGATATTTGTATAGTGAGTAGTAAAATTCAAATTACTTTGCTATTTAAATAGCAATAGATCTATTTTCTTTAGATTTTCAGTACTAGCTCTGAGATCTGTGAGGCTTGTTTGGTTGTAGCAAATTCCAAGCCAGCCTGCAATGGTGGGACATTACAGTCAATGAGCTCAAGAGAGCAAAAATTATTTTGCTTTAAGGTCTTGTCTTTGCTATGAAAAAGGTAGCAGAGCAGGGTGCATCAATTTGTCAAAATGCAAACTTTGAAAGTGTCTCTCTCCTGGAGTTGAGCTAAGGTCCTCTGTTTTTGTTCTTTTTTTTTTTTTTTTTATCTTGGTTTATTTTACAGGCATCGGTTATCTGAAGTTTAAAAATGATACTTTTTTAGTTATGAACACAAGTGCAAGAAGAATATATTTTTATGAACATATTAATTGCAAAGTCAAACCTTCTCCTGACAAATATCTTGCAGTAATTTTAACAGACTTGGTAGCTTTTTGTTGTTTGGTAAGATTCCCTTTAGCGGGATACCTGCATCTTCCCRAGACATTCTGATTTACATTGTTTCTTTTGTTAACAGATGAAAACAGAATGGATCAGTGGATCAGAATATTAGGTCAATATTATTATTGCTTGGAACTTTTCTTCCTTTTGTTTCTCTTTCCCAGAAATGATGAGTTTGAATGTTGCTTCATATTAGCTTGTGTTTTATTCCTTAGTGTAGATTCCTTGAATTAAAAACTATATGCTCTTACCTATGGGCAGTCCTTTTTCATTTGGTCATTTAAATCAATTACAACCGAATACTAAAGTATGTTTCTACTGATTGTTTTCTACCATTTTATATCTCAAATAATTTTACTTGGAACTCCTTTTACTCAGGCTCCCACCTTGAAGTTCAGAACCGCCAAGTACTTAGACATAAAGAAAAAACTAGAARGGCCACTTACCAAGAGTTAGGTTTTCAGTTCTTGTGTTTCTTCTTTATAAGTAATAGGAACTTAAAGCTCTTTTTACTTAAACCTCCACTTAAGCATTCCAGAAAGTGGTTCAACTATTCCCAGAATGATGATCTGTCTTCCTGCTTTGGCAGGAACTACTCCTTTGGCCTACTGCTATTTTTAAGAGATTCCTTTATAAAATTCATTCATATTTCCATTTGGAAAGCAGTTTGTTTGCTAAATAGGATGGTGTGTTATGCTGAGACCACTGCCCCCTTCCTATATACCGCTGTCATTGCTTAAGTAGCTCTTACAAAAATACCCTACCCATAGTATAAATGTGGACATTACTGCTAACAAATCTTACCCCATTATTTCATGAAAGCTCACACAAAAAAAGCTTTATTATTAGTTTTATTAGTGTTACTAGTGTTTTCAGAAAAACTACTCCAAGCTTGAATAACGCCAGTAGATGTCACTGTTGGCATGTGCTGATGTSTTGGGAAAACTCGCGTGTTAAATATAAAGCGTATTTTAGTTTTATAGATACCTGAATAAATGAAACTGAGTGGTTTTTTTATCGTTATTCTTTTGTACATATAGTATGTATTTTTCCGTTTATTTTATTCTGTGCTTATAGTTACTGGTACAGTAAAGACAGTATATTAGCAAGAACTTAAGTATTTTTTGTATTATAAAATAAACAAGGACAAAAAATATAAACATAATTTCTACTCTCTGTACAAAGTAAAAAATCTGTTATTGTCCTGTGCATAAATCCTGTAAAATATTTGTCAGATGATGAATATTAATAGACTCTAATTTCTAAAATAGTTTCACCAATTTAGTAGTAGTAGTAATAGTCTTCACATCTAAATTTCTCCTTTCACMTGCCAGGAGCAAAAGAAATAGAGGTAAAATAAAAAAGGAATAATTATATGGAACTGTGTGTATATGTGCACTTTTGAGTTACAGTGTTGTGTAAAAATATTTTCAATATTTTTTCACTTGAAACAATTGTAGCCAAGAAAGTAGAATGTATAATTACTTCATACAATTTTAGAATGTGAAATATTCCTTTTGCATGATGCTTGAAGTAGGTAAGTTTACAAAAATGAGCAAACAGTAAAGAATCAGAATCCAATCCCCAGTGTAATCACAAAAGATCTTATTGGAAAGCAGGCAGATATTCCTACTGAGATCAGTTCCCTGGCATTTAAGTATATAGTTGATCATAAGTACTTAAATAGTGTAGTTGCTATGCTTGAAGTTACTTCTGTAATTCTTGCTGATTTACATCTTAGTGKTACATTTTTTTTTAATGACTTCATGCAGTGTACACTGTGATCTGATTAGGAGAGGCTTCTGGAAGTTATTTGTAATGTGACTTCAAGAATAATAAGCTTAGCAATAACAAGGTTTTTTACTCATTAGATACTTTCAATTTGAGTCAAATTTTAGTTAATTTTATCTTTAAATAACAGCAATTATTTTCTGTGCTTTTAATACWTGACATCTAAGGATTTTTTCATCTTTACTGTTGCTGCAGAATTTGCTATGAAGGTGTTCCTATTTCAGAGCAATTCCAGAAGGATAGGATCCATGCCCTTCCTCCTCATACATCAAAAASTCTAACAGAATGGCAAAAAAAAGCTGAATATTCTCTTAAAAACCCACAACTGGAACTAGTAGGAGAGAAAGTAAGAAATATTTTTAATAATGTGTGACACAACATCTGAAAAGTGGGGCTTTTTTTGGTTTTGTTATTTTATTATATGAAACACCTATAAAATAAAGATCTACTGATTTTTCAGCATTTGACAACATGTAATATAAAATGCATATGAACATTTCTACTGATGGAGAATGTAGGTTTTTATATTCTAAAACATCATGCATCTGATCTCATTTTTTTTTTCTGAAATACAACAAAGTCTAAGATGCTAATTAGTAACAAAATAAAAATGAAAAGAGCGAGGCAGGTAATTGATTCAGGCCAATAAGCCCTATACCTTTTCAAGATTTCTTTACATGTGATGTTTTTCCACACATGGTGGATTTTTTAAACAAAATCATATTTAGTGAAGACTGGAATTCTATCACGATAGTTATGTTCATATTTAACACAGAAATTTGTAAATTGGATTGTTGTTAATTGGTAACTGAACTATATTGTTTTTGAAGGTTTGCTTTTATCCAGAAGCTTTAAGAATGTTTTGGGCTCCAGCTCCGCCAAAATTCTSTGCTCCAATTTCTTACATGAAGGAAATTTTATTTCCTACATATAAGGTAAGATTTTAAAATGTATATTCAGTGTTCCTGTCTTTGTCAAAAATACATGTCTTTTTCTAACATATTTATTATCTCTGGCAGTTTTGTAATATCCTGCTATTTTATTAAAATTTTTGCTTCCTGTAAGCACAGTTAGTAAGTCATTGTACAGTCTRTAATAATACTTTGAATAGTATTGTTGTGGTTTTATTTTCCTGCAAATGGAAAACAAGGTTCTAGTAGTAAGTATTCTTAAATAACATTTCTTATTATGTTATCTTGTGTAGTGCTCATTGTATTTTAATTAATTGAAGTAAATAACATCTTTCCCCATTTGTGTCTTCATGTCGAGAGCTACTTTTACATAACATCTCTCTTCAGCCGTGCTCACAGTAATTTCTATGAAAATGAGATAAAATCATCTTTATCTTTTTAGTAAATTCCATTTTAGAAAAAATGCTTTTTTTCTGACTTTTGGAATGGTTTGAATCTCCATTCTGACCACATTACTGGAAGAGAGGGGTCAGTCACTTAAAAGGGCATGCCTACCATATAGCGTACACATTAGTAGCACTCTGCACCTTCCCAGGGCAAAGTTTACAGAGAAACTAGTATTTCAATATGACTTCACTCCCCAGCACAAGAGATAAAAATGACTTTTCCTTCTGCATGGATGAACTGACAGCAGGAGTATCCTGACATGGTTCTGCAATACCACCATCTCCTATCCTTTCTATATCTGCCCTGAGCTGTGGTGATGTTGCTGTGTGGACATTACTAGCATTACTAGATGACATAATTTACCAAGTCTGCAGTAGAAAACGTAGGGAATCTGGTAGCAACAACTGCTTCCCTCATGTTTTTGCCCCTTATGTACCATGTAAATCTTGATCACACGAAAGAATATGCCCTGTCTGTCTGTCAGAAGCACAGGATACGTGGMTTCTGCAATATTAGATTTGATCATCATAAATCTTTAGCCCAAATATAGATTTTACTTATTAATCTGTTGCTATGTTTTTTATAGCTGGCTAAAGTAATGGTACTTTACATATTTAAATATATACATGTATTAATATTTCAGAGTAATCTTATTGAAGGTGTTATCTTTGAAGACTTCACTGAACACCAGGAAGATGAAGATTTCGAACATGGGGATCGTGATTTCTACTATTTTGATCTGGTATTGTATTACAATATCTTTATGTTTTCTTAATTTCTGAATAGAAAAAGCTAAGCCTCACTTTTTAAACCTAAGACTGTACTTAATTTAGGATATTGGAACTTCTACTGACACTGATACTAGCCTGCTGATGTTAGCCATGTATTGATATCCTTTAAGACTGAGGAAGATATACATGTAGAAAGAATCATTGCATATTTAAAGACTCTTCTTATCTTTAAATACAATAACATTATGTTGGGAGGAAGGTTTGTGATGTAAGGATATTTTGGGAACATGACATTTCCTAAGAGGGTGACTTACTGGATATTCCAATCTACCCAACYATCTAAAAAGCTCTGAGAATCGGGAAGCAGAAGAGAGGAACACAGATGTTTCCCATAATGTGGACTTCACTTTGTAGAGTTTCTCGGAATGCARTATTAAAGGACAGGCAAGGGTGATTTACCAATGGCAGGCTGAAGTGTGGCTCTTGACTGTAGTGTGGGTCTTTACAGTTAGAGAATCCTGACCAGCTCAAATGCCTTTGATCTACTTCTTGGAAGCGGTGTAGGAATGAGGGACATGAGCTCAGAGAAAATGGAAGTGGCAAATTATGCAATTAAGTGTATTTACCTGGGGCTRGCTGTTTCTGTCAAAAGTGTTTGAAAGGTGGAAGTGGGTAGAAGTTTACTCAGATGCCCTGAGAATTAAACAGAAAATCTTTCTTTACTAGAGAATTTGAGGTAGAACTGAGTGTTTCTGTAGCTAAAACACAACTGAAATTGTGGAGGTAGAGGTCCTACTGAGACCTCAGTGGGAACTGTGGGAGGCCAATACACAGTTGGATGTATTTGCAACCAGACTTGGACCTGCTGAAGCTAGCCCCCAGATATACTTTAATGAAAAAAGGCATTGTTTAATATTGTTGCAATTTGGAGTTTCATTTACAGTGATGGACTATAAAAGCAGCTAAATTATCCAGTTAATCGGATAACGTGCATCCTATTTGAAGGTGATATGTGCTGGGCAAGATATATTTGCCTTTGTCCTTGAAATGAAGTTTTAATAGCGGCTATATGATAGCCAACATATCCAATATTGGATATATTATACCCAATAGTGGATATCTGAGACCTCTCATTCAAGAATATGTGACTTATAAATGGCATGGTGGCAGAACAATAAATCTGATAAAGGAACACTTCATAGTGTGAACACTTGCTGCAGGTGTTGGCAAGAAATAATGAGAACCTTATTCAATATGTCAAACATGAAATATTCTGTGGTCCACTTTGCATAGCTCCTTTTGCAGCCAGGAAGCAGCAAATTAAATACTTTTTTTTTAATAGAAGAATAAAATTATTTGGAATTTTGTATCGTGATTGACTTTAGGCGTAAGGAGGTTATAGCTATATTCGTAACTGTAAACTGGCTTGGAGCTGTGCAGCAAAGATGAAGACTGTTGGTAGGTATTTGTCTAGCAAAAAAAAAAAGTGTGTGTAAGTAATGGGAGTCAATGCTCAGTGAGTCTAGCACTTTCAGGAATTATTGTGTCTAATATGTATTAACTGAAAAGACATCATGCAGTAAACTCAGTCTAGGTCATCAACAGTTTGGCATATTCACAGTGTGTTCTGAGGTTGCTGAAATTCCTGTGCATGCACAGAGCATCTGTGCAGCACGTGTATAAAACTCGGGCASCCCTGGAAGTGTCCAACTGACTGTACTTACTCTCTAGGGTTAATCTGTATGAGTACATTGGATGTGTCTGGGAGTTTTGGACATCTGGCAATGGAAATGGGCTTAAGACATCTGGAAATATAGATAAATGCACTCTTACTCCACTCAAACTGAGGCAGGGGGAAAATTCAGATTTCTTTGGAATCATTTTTATTAGCCCCAGCCTTTAAGAGCAAAGTTTATCTGAAAGCTGTATCATACCAGACTCAGACTAATTCAGACTTATTTTCACTTTTTGTTTTATGTGTGTAGGCAAAATTTCTTCTGAGAAGAAGCCATTCTTTGACAGATTTTTCTGACAGTGAGAAGTTAGAGGTAATGCATTATATCCACATATATTTGTTTCCGAATTATGATATTTTTAGAGGAAATCTTTCTACTGAATTGAATTAAACTTAGTATTATCTTACTAAGCGCAAAAATCAAATTCTCAAAGATCTCTTTCAAGTGGATTCGCTATATTTAATCTCTCAGTTTCAAAATAGGAGAACATAGATCTCTACTGAGAAGCCCTCCATTAACTTTACAGATTTTTAAATATAGGCCTTATATGCAAGAGGGAGACACAAAGTACAGGGGTGAGTTTTTCCATTCAGACTTTAGTTCTGCTTCTGTGTAACACTACTGCAATTCTAAACATTTTATGGAGTCTTTCCATCTTTTGTTCTTACTTCATAAATATATCTCAGTTCATATTTCTGTAAATGGCACTACCAATGGCACACTTTTTTTTAAACTCAGCTTTCCTATAAAGAGGCTTCTAGTTCAAACTTCCTATGATACTTTTTAGTGAAGATAAATTTTAGCCCTTTTTCCAGCTTCAGACAACAAGAATTAATATTTTAAGGTGCTTTTAACATGTATCCTGAGGTATGCTGATCTCTTCCACCTTCCCCTCTCCCCTCCTCCTACTATTATTTCCAGCTATGTAGTATCCATGGCAAAACAAAATCCAATCCATTAAAAACCAACAAAGCTAGTATGTAAATCTTATTTCAAATGGGCACATAAAYGATTTTAGTTTCCTTTTTTTCTGACAGATAAGTTTTCCTAGAAGGTCAATCTCTGCTCCAGAGCTGACTACTTTCAAAGATGATACTACGTTAAAGATGTCAGCTAGTTTCAAAACCAGCATGAAAGAGCTGAAGTTTATGAAACAACAGATAGCTGAGCTGAAGGTTGAGAAAGACATTGGAAAAAGCTTCCCTACCACGCATCTACTGAGACAAATCTGTGATGATCTGCAGTCTGTGCAGACAGATACACTAATGGAAAAAAAGCCTGCTTCAACTGGGCGAGAAGATAGAAAGAAGGACATTCTTGCTGAGAAATCTCAGAAGACTAGGTTTAAATACCCTGCTTTTCCAGGAAGAAAGAAAACGAAGAAATCAAAGAAAACAATAGACCCTAGAAAATTAGAAGCTGTGATTAAGAAATTAAGTGAACCCCCAAGGATTCTTAAAAGGTTTTATTTAATTAATATGTAATTAATATGTACTGCCTTTTAAAAGAATATATTTTAATTTGTAGTCGCATTATTTAACTATGYATTTTATTTTATCTTTTTGAATATTAAATATTACTCTTTAGCAATAGTGGTTTAGTTATTTAGGATAATATTTCTTTTTCAGTGTAGAGAAATAACACGTACATTTCAAGGGGTTTGAGGATATCTAGTACATATTGTACTTTGCAAAGTGTTACATCGTGCAACAACAGAAATAGAACTGACAAAATGAATGATTAAGATGTTCAAGCTTTGTTTGAAAGTCAAGGGAGACWTTCTCAATATTTAGGAAACTTAAATGCTAGGCTGGACTAACCTCCTTTGCACCATGAACTGCATACATCATATCAAARGGGGCTTTTTACTTTTGTTTTTATGTATCATCCTAAATATTTTCCTAGTAGATACTTATTATTTATGTATTAGCATGTGGGATATGAAGAAGACATTGTCTTAGAAGATAATCAGGTATTAGAAAAGTATAAGATTACATTAATACTCTTGCCGTTTTTTTTTGGCATGGAGTGTTAAATGCTTATGCTTGACCTCTGAGCTGCAGAGAAAAACAAATGTTGTCTATGTGTGTAGTAATATGKTAYATGTTTGCATTGTACTTATATTGATGCTCAGGTCTTCCAACTTTTTCTTTTTTTTTTGTTTTTAGGTACCTTTCCATAGGTAATTAAGCTTAACTGTGCTATAGCTTACTGACATAGCGAGCTGTGATTAATGGAACTCATGGCTTTTCCCAAAGTCATCTTTTAGACAGAGTTACAGTATGTTCTATGTTGACTCAAGCCTTCATTTCAGATTTGCTAAGACCAAAGGGTTTCATCTTTGTCCTTTTTTACATGTTATTCAAATAAGGGTTTGCTTTATTTTTTTTTTACTTTAATTTCTTTTTTTCATCCCTAGTGGGATCCAATTTACAAAACCACAGATATGTAGATACGTGTAAAATATTATCTCTGTATTCCCTTTTAGTATTCCCTTCTGTATTAGCAGGAACAGTATTGTTTGTGATAAAGATTATTTCTGTTTAAAAAACCCTGTTTGGTGTTGGSATCTCAAAGCAGGTGTTGATACAGAATATTTGTGATGGTTCTCATCTTAGAAGCTGTGAATTTTCCCAGATTATCATCGTTTTGGAAATGTCCTTTTAAATTCTAGTGTTTTTTCACTTTGCAATTTGGGTGGTCCTTTTTGTGTTTGTGTTCTCACAGCCTCCTCATAGCCCCAGTAGGATCTATCATCTACATATTTGTCTACCCAGRATTTATCACTTATTGTTTTGGTCATGTTGGTAGTTATCTACTCTGAAATACGGTCTCTTCTTAGGTTTAGCCTTGTCCTTGTCAGCCTAAGTTAGAGGTTTTCAGGGGAGGTAAGCATGCAAGTGCAGTAAGTGCTGAATGGAAACGTGAATCACTCAGCGTGGTTTCTGTAATTTTTTTCATAAATGGCTGATAAGTTAGAAATCAGTAAGAATAGTTATTTGAATACAGTAAAGAATAGTTATTTGAATAGTTGTTGCTCGGCAGATTGTAATTTGGTATTATTAATATATCTGGGAACCTTTAATTTTAATATATTTTTTTCCTTCAGGTGCGAGTCCCTGGGAAGACTCCCTATTCATGACAAGTTCAGTATCAAGGTATCTTCAGYAGTGAGACAGTGTCGTAGTCCCAGTATCCCTTGCATATTAGATTTTGAAAAGTTTGTAAAGGTGAGGGGTGGAATTCCCAAAGAAACTTCTGCTCACAAATGGRTCAGTGAAATATGGAACTGCTGGTTTGAGGAAACTTTCCCTGGTAGTAGGACTGACTTTGAGACCAATATTAAGTTGCTCAAAGGAACTAAGAAGGTGGACTTGCAGGAAGCACATCTACGAAATGAATTAGTTGACTCTATGCAGCCTGTTCTGCTTGAGGATTCAACGGTTAGTGTTGGAGATTTAGAGGAAGAAGTGAGACGGCTGACGGTACTAATAGAAAAGGAAGAGCAGCCTTTGGCTTTTCACTACTGTCGGCGTGGAGCAATACACAGAAAGCTAGGCAAGTTGAAGTCAGCTATGAATGACTTAGAAAAAGTAAGTTGCAAGTTTACTGCCAATTTTTTTCTCCTATAAAGATTTTTTTTTCCTAAGCTGAGCATTTGAGTTCTCCCCAGGGAGGTAGTTAGAAGCATAAAAGAGTTGGTAACTAGCTGAATGACCTTCACATGGAAAATCAATGTGTTTCTTGAGCATAATTAAAARTATCACTTCATGCTAGTATTTTATAAAATAATGCTGTTTCTTCTGTATATATGTTTATTTTTTTGAACACTTTTAAGTTTCCATTATAGTGCTACAAAAACTAACATTACTTATGCCTGATACTCTGCAAAGCTAAAGGAAAAAAAATAAAACCAGAACAAGATAAAAACATTGCTGCAAAAACAGAAATGAAAATAATTTTTTAATGTCATATGAAAGTAGAAGCTATGAAAGCTTTGAAAGGCATCTCTAAGCAATGGTACAATTCTGTATTTTGTGAAGCTGGTGCAGAGAAGTCACATATTGTACTTTGGGATTGATATTTTCATTGTCATAGGCACAGGTCATAGGCACAGGTAGGCATCCCAAAATACTATATATAACCACATACAGCAAAAGATGTCCTTCTTTGTGGAGCCAGCATCTTTAGGTATCAGCTCTTAGCACAACCTTTGGTGTTTTAGGGGAGCAGTTGTAGGGGACCACCTGCTTTGGTTTTAATGATCCTTGGACTGTGGTACCTGATACTGCCACTCTGAACTAGCCCTTTTGTGTTGACATTGCTCTTGGGGAGTAGAATGCCAACCAGCTGTCAATCATGCTGAAAACATTCTTTACAAAAAGCACCTTTAAATAATGTAAATAGCATTTATTTTGCTAAAATGCAAAACTCGATAAATCAGTAGGAAATGCACAGAGGAATGACATTCAATATGGATACGTCTAATTCTGTCTTGGYTTCGTTTTAATTTCTCTCAGCTAATACAGTCTCAAGCAGTGCTAAATTTTGAGGCGTTTCCTACAGTTGGATCTGTTTTTCAGATTTTGTTCCATTTCTAGAGTTTGCTTTTCCCAAAATTGCCCTATAATTGACTCTCCTTTTATAAGACTCTTTCTATTAATGTTTCTCTTGGAGATAAACTCTTTTTGTTTGTTTGTTTATGAAGGGACATATGTACCTATTTTGTGCAGCAGTAAACTGCATGTKTTACCTTCCAAATTGCATGATCTATCTGACCAGAAAATTTGCCATGTTTAGAGCAACTCAATCATTTGTTTTTCTTGCATCTGTTTATTCATCTAGAACCTTAGAAACAGATGGTCAAGTATTTGAAAGGCTAAAAATTCAAGAACCAAATGCAGTGCTGCCAAACTTTCTGGATCAATGGGCCAAGACCAGTTCCAGCATTTCCTTTCAAAGCTGTTGCATGTTGTAGTGAAAACACTATTGTTATTTTTTTTTTTTTCTCTTCAACAACATATACAAAGACCATTCAGTGTTTTATGGATCCTATAAATGCTTTACAGATCAAAATGTGAGAATTACTGTTGTTGCAGACTAGTCTCAGATATGTTTTTTTTCCATATACATTTATGGATATATATTTATTTCCATATGGCTGGTAAATGTCTATTCTATGCATAATGAACACATGCAAAATACATTCATTGAATCATAGTATTTCAGTCAAGTGTTTTCTGTTAGGRTGCATATAGAGAGTATGTAAGTGCRTGGGGAAGTATTTATGCTTTCTGAAAGAATCATAACAGCACAGTTTGAAAAGATGATTATCCTTTCAAACAGGACACATGTTACTTGCTTCTTACTTTTAAATGGAGCAATTGACAAGATTATTTTTAAACATTTGTTCTCTGGGACTATTCTAGATATAATTTTCTACCAGAAGTAACTCRGAAAACAATTTTAAAAACTATTTTAAAGAAATAAACCTGGTAATATCCCAGACTTATTCATATTTTACACTGAATATACTGGTAGGATAGACTTTGATTCTGTGTATATGTTAGTATGAGTCCTTAAAATAAATGGCATCAGTCAAACCTGTCAGGTACTTAGATTTAATAGAAGTTTGCTGGTCTAGTTCTTTTCTGGAAACAAGAACAACAACAAAATCTATGCAAAAAAATAGTTTCTTATTTCCGATATGCTATTTGGAACACTTTTAAAAGGTTYCTTCCACAATTTAAATAATAATAATTTACTTCTCATATTTTGTTATAGGCTATAAGCTTAGAACCATTACTACTTAATGCTTATTGGCATAGACATTTGATTTACCTCTTTCAAGAAAGAATTTCTGCTGCTTTGGATGACCTGCATTTCATAAGTAAATGGAACAAAAATAACGCAGGCAAGTTTATGAAAGCATAAACAAACTTTTGAAGCAATTTGTTTTTCACAGTGCTTTCTCTCCATTTGCCTTCAGTCCTAGTTCTGCAAATATTTTTGCACATATTTAACCTTGCATCAGTGGATTTATGTGTGTAGAAAGATTACATAGCAGACATGATTTTTCAAAGGTTTAGGACAGAAGTTAGATTTCTGARAAGAATATGGGTTTAATTATAGTGTGTTTAAAAAAAAAAGTCCCAGAAAAAAAATAAATGAAAAAAACTTGTTGGCAATTTTATCCATTAACTTAATGTGGAAAGCTGATAAGCAATCCTGTAATGGGGACAGTGTGATATGAAGTTTATTTTCAGCACTGCTCTGCCATACCTTTTAAACTGAGAAGGAGAAACTTAAAGGGGAAAACAAACAAAGAAACAAACAAAATATTTAGTTGACAGACTAACGGAACAGAATTTGGTCCCCAGATGCTAAAGGACAGCTGGCAGAAGCTTTGGGGATGATTGCTGTCGACCGGAGCCTGGCAGCTGGGTAGGAACTCTGCAGGAGCAGACCTTGAGATCCTTGTGGTCAAGTTGGACGTGAGTTGCCAGTGCATCCTTGTGGCAAGGAAATCTAAGTATATGCTGAAAGTATTAGTGAAAATGTGGCCAGCAGATCAAGGAAGGTGATTCCCTGCTATTTTTGTAGTCATGATGTTGCACTTGCAATAGTGTGCTCAGTTTGGATCCCCAGTACAGGAGAGAGGAAAATGAGAAAGTCTGTCAGAAGGCCATTAAAATTTTTGGGATCCAGAAACATTCCTATTATACAAGGAAAAGCTGAGGGAGATTAGTTTTTAGCCGGGAGAAGGTAAGGCTTGAGAGTCACAGAATCACAGAATGATTAAGTTCTGAAAGGACCTTTGGAGATCATCTAGTGCAACCTCCCTGGTCCAGCAGGCATCAKCCCTGTTCTCTATGACCTTTCAGAGAYGAGGGGAAGTGGCTTAACAATAAGAGATCTTTTAATGATCCTTCAAATAACTCAAAGCTGATACTGTTTTAGTGAAACCTTTTCTCTGTGCAGAACATCCAAAGGCAATATATTAAGTTTTAAAGCCACTATATTACTCTTTTGAACAGAGTTCATTTATTAAATAATCCCAATCTGTAGTTTAAACAGCTATAGCAGATCAATTGGTGCTGTAGTAGATAAATATTTTGTAWAAGGTCACATTATCAGGTACGTGGCTTCCTTGATTAGGGCTCAGGAAGAGCCATTTAACTCCTTTATCAAATTGTCAGGGTCCATTGGATACTTCTCTGTTTAGTCATATTCTGTACTGAGTGTGGCCTACTATAGAACATGAAAATGGGATTGTCCAACTTGTGTGACTCACTTGGAAATGTAATATTATTTGCTGAAGTTAGGACTTAAAAGAATACTGATGCATTTGATTTCTATGGTCTTTTTCTGTGCTGTATTACTGTTTGCTATTTTTATTTTATTTTATTTTATTTTATTTTATTTTATTTTATTTTATTTTATTTTATTTTATTTTATTTTATTTTATTTTATTTTATTTTATTTTANATTTGATTTCTATGGTCTTTTTCTGTGCTGTATTACTGTTTGCTATTTTTATTTTATTTTACTTTACTTTACTTTACTTTACTTTACTTTACTTTACTTTACTTTATTTTATTGCAAGTTTGGCTTTTTCTCTAATCTTCCTTCATTAGAAGTTTGTTAAAAGATGTTGGGAAATGTTTGTGGTTGGCAACGTACATGGGATAACTTGTTTAGTGATCTGTGGTAAATGGCCCTATATTTCACAGCCTAAAATGTCTGAGAGTATCTGGGATTCTGCAGAGTGCCCAGGAATCCTACAGGAGCTGTCAGGTACTTGAGCTCTGTGGGCTCAAGGACTAAGCACAGAACTCCAAGCTTTCAGGATCTATTGCTCAGAACAAAACAGGGCTTCCCAATGATATCGTTCTGTTTCTAAKAATGGTATTCATTTTCCCTGTAAGGAGGTGAGTTACTGCTGTGGCTGCTAAATAATGTCTTTTATATGTTTGTGGGCTGTTTCAGATGCTTATCTGTCAAAAGCTGAAATTTATAAAAAAATGGGGGATTATACAATGGCAATCGTCAATTACAGCTCAGCAATACAATGCAACCCTACAGATGATGATACTTACTTCAAGAGAGCTGAGTTGTATTCGGAGGAAGATAATTTATTATTGGCCATGGATGATTATGCCAAAGTAAGCTCACCTTTCTGTATTATTACAATAATGTAGTAATTTTGTATAATTTAGTGTAGTAACTTTAATATATTTAACTGCATTTGGATATATCTGGCAAGTAGTTTGGAGAACTGATATCCTTTCAATAATGATTAAAAACAAGTCATGCTGTGGAGTAAATATGTAATTTCCATTACTTCTGTCAGATAATTTAGTGAATTACTGAATATCTACAAATTATGAGGCAGTTATAAGCTAGCGTCACTGGTTTTGTGTTTCACTTTTACAGTTAACAGAAATGAGCAAAGAAATTAAAGAACAAGAGAATAAAAACAAAAATCTGACAATGCAAGAATGTATTTCTTGGTTGTTGGATAAGGTTTTAAAACATCAGAAATAATAATGAATAAAATAATGATTTTTTTTTTTTGTCATAGTGTTTTCAGTACAACCCAAAAAGAACAGATGCCCTTATGAAGCATGGAATACATTTCTTTGACCGTTCAATTTTTACTACAGCTATTCAGGATTTTACTGCTGTGATCAAGGAAGACCCCATGAATGCTCAGGCAAGGTATAATATATAGCTTGACAGAAGTATTTGAATTTTAAGTGGATTATTACAATAATATTAATATGTAGAAGATTGAATATGCATTAAACAATAATAAAGCAACTGCATTCTAATAGGAATAGAATAAGACTTCTAGGCCATCATAGTCATTGGGGAATTTTTGTATTGCTTTAATGACTTTGGATTAGTCCCTAGACCTTAATTTAGCTAAGCACAAAACCGTGTGCTCAGATCCTGCTGGAGTTATGCAAATATGGAGTCATTTGGACTAAGGTACATGAATATATGCTTTGCTCTGAAGAACTGGATTTAAATACATGCTCAAAGTGAAGAATGTCCTTAGGGATTAAATAGTTCTATGCCTAATATCCATTGGTTGCCTTGGCACTTCTAGTTTTAGCATTTTGCTGAATTAATGTTTTCTGTGAAAATTATGATTATGTGAATGTGAATATGAATTATCTTTTTTTTATTAGAATTTAGTTAGGATATTGCTTTTGACTTTGATTTTTAGAGACTGAGAAAAATTCGTATGATTTTGCCAATAATAAATAAGACTTTTAAAATCATTCCCACAAAGATTTACATTCTTTCTGTCCTCCAAGCTGTCTTCATGAATACAAAGTATAAATAAAAGTGTAAATTCAGTATTATATTATGATACCTCAATTTATGTGTTAGCATSCTGTCTTCTTGAAATGTAGATTTCTGAGTTGCTTTTATGGTCRTGGGCAAAGTAGTTGTTGGTCAGTAGAGGCTAGATAGCCTGAGCACATATCCAGGCTCTTCCATAAAGCCTGAAGCTGTATTCTCCTGAGCAGCCAGTAAGTGTGTACTTTTGGATGAACTAAATTGCTCTCATCTTCTTGAATGATTCAATCTTCATCATCTATAATGGAAAGYCAGACACCTAGCATATGTTGTTGGCATCTACAAATAGATACTTAAGTTTAGATGTTTAAACTGGGAACTGAACCCCATCCAAAATGAATGTAAATGGCTCRTGAAGGATGCCCTCAGGGATATCTGTTACTTGCCAGTCCATCTTGTTCATCATGAGGAACCTCRGAGTCAGGCAAAATTTCCTTCTGAAGTATGGTTGCATTACTAATGTTATTCACTAATGCTTCCGAGAACTCTGACAAGGACACGATATCTTGAAGTATCACAAAGCTCCAGTGAACTTTTTGAAATCCCTGTACTCACCGAAGCTCAGATGTGCATGCATGAGCTCTGTTAATAGTGTCATTGCCCTGTGTTTATGTAGAGTTAAGCACATGATGTAATTCTGGCAGAACTGATTTTATTATGTTACATTTAGAAAAGAACTGTTTATATTTTATATGACAATTCTGTGTAGAAGTGGGATGTGGCATTAAGGCACGTTGGAAAACAGTGAAAAYTAATTTCAGCGATGTGAAAACATAAGGTTTATAATTTGCATTGATAAAATACTTGTTGTCTATTCATATTTTTCACCTGTATTCACACTATTTACACTGTTCTATCTGAGCTTATGATTTATCTTCTTTAAGTATATTGCTAGTGTCTAGAATTTCGGGGAGAACAGAGAAATTGTATTTACAGAGAATCTTTTTTAACTAGGCTGTATCGAGGAAGGGCATATGCTAAACAGCAGCAGTATAGAAACGCAGTAGAAGACTTATCAGCAGCGCTTCATCTAGACCCTTTCTGTTGGTTAGCTTTCTACTGCAGAGGTTGCATACTACGACACGTTGATCCAAAAAGAGCTCTGCAGGACTTCAGTGTTTCTGGTAATACATGTTTTTTTTCTTTCTTTTTTTTTTTTTTTTTTTAATTCGGGATGTATTTATTGTTTAAAAGAGAACTGGCTATTCACTAGTATTTACTACATTCTAATATCACAAATATTGCATTTATTTCCTGCTGTAAATATTGAAATGGACTGTAACCACTCAGCACTTGTAGTGACTTGCTTGTTTTGATTTCTGTTAAAGGTCACTATTAAATATTGGCTCTTACTCTTTTTATCCTTTCAATTATTTTCCCCTTGGCTCCCTGAAGCTTKCTTTCTTCACTTTAACATTTTGAGTGGAGTTACCTGAAAAGTGTAATTATGTTCTTGAAGGCATTTTGAGTGTTTTGTGTTATGATCTAAAATGCTTTATGTTTTTTATTTAAGAAAGATAGAGTAAGGAATAATGTGTAGATAAACTATATAAAATAACATATATATATATATGATAAACATATATATATATATGATAAAAATCAATTGGTCAGATATTCATATATATATATATATATATATATATATATATATGAATATCTGACCAATTGATTTTTATTCTTCTCCTCCCACAGTGCTCATCAATGACACTCAGGAAAATTTTTCTTCTTTTCTTCATCGTGGGGTCATTTATGCAGAACAGTGTCAATGGTCATTTGCAATCTGTGACTTTGAAAGCGTCCTGGCATTAGACAGGTGATTAGATTTGAATTTTAATATATTTTGTTTATATTCTGGTTAAATGGGAGCATAAAAGTGCTAGTAAAGGAAAGTAGAATCATAATTGATATCTGAATATAGACTAGAATTAGTGCAGACATAAACATCTTATGTTAAACATCTTAAACACATAATCTTATTTTAATCTTTGAATCATTTGCTTTTGTGTGAATGAAAATAGTTGTTAATTTATTTTAAATTTTAACTTTATTTTGTCTTTCATGGGAACATGACAAATAAGTTACTAAGTTTTGGAAGACAAAAGATGAAAAGTATTTATTACAGTTATCATTTGTGCTTGAATCATCTTGCTTGTGCTTGAATTAGTCTTTGGGAGATAAATTTTCTGCAATATAGGTAAAAAAGCCAAATGTTATTTCAAAATAAGACGCCACAATATTTTGTTAAGCAAAGACAAATATATGATGTTGCTGAAATAAAAGTTACTGCTTATGATCTTTGACAGCAGGTGACTGAATGACTTCCATGTCCAATCTTTAGGCCTTGGGCCGGTCTAAATTCCCTCAGCTCTTGCTCTTGGGTGGTTCTGCTAGAGAAGGATTAGAAGTTTGCCTAGAAACAGCCTACATGAGAGGACTGTACAGGTTACTGCAGACCCTAGAAATACAGACTGATAACAGCCAGTCAAGTGAAATGTCAAAAAAGGAAGTAGCAGACTGGATGGAAAATGTCTGTGTTTTGCCAGAGTCTTCCGAACCAAAAATGTTGCTGTTGAAGAATTCATCATTTCTGGTACGAGTGTGTGTTCTTACAAAATTGCCAACTAAGGCTATTCCATGTCCAGCTATCATGATGAATTTGTCATACCTTCCTCATAAATTGCATTTGAAGTGCTGGTTTTGGTGAGAGAGCTTCTAGCGTGTAGTCAAATGTAACAGGCTGACCAAAGCCTGTAACAAAGCTATTCTAATGAGTGTTTGTCTGAAGGAGGTAGTTTAATACCAATATTGTCATTCACTGTGTTGCCTACATATGCCTACATTAGTATTTGAGATAATTGATAATGAGTAATGTGTTTTGTGGTCACTGCACGAACTATGTGCTATTCAAAGTCTAGCTTTACAAAATATATATGTTGTAAAAGGTGTAAAAGTTGAAGTTATGGCAAATACAATGACGTTTCATGTTATATCATTAACAAAAGGAGGAAAAATCTGTTTCTAGATCTGTCACCTTTGCTTACCTAAGCATTGGTTTGATAATGCTGCTACATCTGGATCAATACTACAAAGCTATTCAGCTGTTTACTGATGCCATCGAAGTCGATCCTCTCGATGTTCAAGCCTATATATGTAGAGCCCAAGCATATCATAAGGTAAGATGTTCATTTTTTTTGTTATTTGCCATTCAACATTGCTCTATTTAGATTTATGTTTGTGTATTTTAACACTTACTTATGCCTTGATCTAACAAWGATGTTAGAATATGTTTCAAGTAGTGATCATCACTGTTATATTATAAAATACGTTGTAACTATTGTAAATTATTGTTGATATGATACAGTGATATAGCATATTTTTTCTTTAGCTTTATCTTTTTAGATCAGTTTACATCTAATATTCTGTAATAATATGTATTTTTGAAATATGAAAGACATTTTGAAATAAAAACTTTTTTTCCTAAACTTTTTTTCTTCAGAGTTCTTATTTTTGAGGAGATTTAAATTTGTTTTACTACAAATAGAAAAGAAAACAYTTGCAAAATTTTAATTTCTTGTGAACCTGAATATTTTATCCTCCTACATAGGATTTCAGGACAGATTTTATTAGCAATTATTTGAGATCCCCAGGAGTGCGAATAATGAAGTGTGACAATTCTGACAATTTTCCATTTTCTGTGGCAGAACTGAATAAACTSTTCAACCTCACAATGCTTAATTTGTTTCCATAATGTTTGGAGAGATTGCTTGGACTGTTCATTTTCTTCTGTAGCATATCTAAAAGAAATTACTTCCAGCACAGAATCCATCCAGGCTGATCAATTATATATGTCTTTGGTTTCAGTCTTTAATCATAGCTTGTATTGGAAGCAATCTACCAAAACCTAGATTGCTTTTGTAGTTTTATTTACAGAGTTCAGATAACAGAMATAAATAAAGCAGGTGAATAAAGCGCAGTGGGTGCATTCCATTATAACTATTCTTTGATGACAGTTTTGAAGAGCAGTTAACCCAGGTGGATGTATCAGTCTTAGACCAGTCGTGGTCTAAAGGAAAATGATGGGGACCGCATGCACAGACATTTGTAAATTGTGCAGGATGCACGAGTTGGACCTTTTAGCAAGAAAATTCTGAATTTCTGTGCAGAAGACATATGTACCTAATGAGTTAGTATGGTGTGTACATTGCATCCTGCAGAACCATGGTGAGAAGTGTTAATTTTCTTCAAACTGCATTCATATTAGCAATTAAATTACTGTTTTTTACTTTCTTAATTACAGATTCATAATTTACAAGATGCTGTGAGGGATATAAATCGAGCCATTCATCTTTATCCAAACAAATCACAGTTTTACATATTAAGGTAGGAAAGTGATTGAAACAAGTTGTTAAAGTCTTCAAAGATACCTCACTTTTGCAAAAAAAAAAAAAAAAGAAAAGAAAAAAATCCAGTTTGGAATCTTATTGGTTAATGCCCTCATATCCTTTGTAATTTGCTCTGAGTGTGTTTGAGTACAAAAAATGCATTATTATGATAGCAGTTTTCAACCTGAAGAACTTCACATCTGTTAAAAACCTCTCAAAAAGACAAACAAAAAACCTTAGCTGTTTTTATTGGAAGACATTATTTTTTTTCTTTTTATACTAAAGAAAGCAAATTGTAGATTTTTAGTTATGCCAGCAGTACTGGAAAAAGTACTTGGAGATAGCTTTGCTAACTGCATTCAACAAATTTTTCATTATAGGGGGAAGTACTTAATGGAAATGAAGAAATATGAGCTATCAAGCTTATGTATTCACCAAGTTTCAGAAATGGATGAAGGTAGTGTAAATTTGCATAGGTTTTTGTGAACCATATATACATGGATCTCTATGTATGTAAGAAATATGTATGAACCATATATGTATGAATCTCTAAGCAAGGAATATGTATGAACCATATATGTGTGAATCTCTAAGCAAGGAATTGTTTAAAAATTTAAGCTCAAGGCTAGTTACCATGAGTCAGCTAAAATTCTTGTTCTCCTGTGTATTTTGTTTGCATGAATAGAGCCTTGAAATAATGTTGCTGTAYATTAGTGCCAGCGGTATCACGTGTGATTTCAAATTTTCGGTATCTTTTGTGTGTTTGTCGTTTTTTATTTCCACCTTATTTCTAACATTAAAGAAATTCTATTTTGTCCTTATATGTGATCTTTCCTTACGAGATATGACATAGATTTATGACTGAATCTTTTCAATGCATTTTAACAATTAAAATATTGCAGTATAGTTGTCTTTATTATGTGCTGGCCATAAAGCAAGACACTGTGTCAAAAACTTCCTATCTGTAGTAGTGAACAGTAATGGATACACAGGGAATAAGAATAAATAAAAAATAAAAAGTAAAAGGAAAATAAGTGCATGCTTGCATGGAAAAAACCTTCTTTTATGTGGGGAAAGAAAGATAAAAATTTGGACATATTTAGCAATTGAACTACACTTGCTGGTAATTTTCAAACTTTTGTATGAAATTGTTTAATATTTTTATGACTGCTAAGGCAAACAGTGATGGTTTTCTTCCAGAATCCTTCAAGTCTCAGCCTGTTCAGCGAGCTCTCATTCAGTCATTTTGTCAAAATCACAATAAAGCCATAGARTGCATGTGTGAAGTTATCGCAAATCAGCCTGAGCCTTCCATGTATGTTTTCCTTGGAAAAATACAAATGAAAGCCAAGAAAACTAAGGTTAGAAACATTTACATTGTATACGTGTCAGTGTTTTGTTTTTGTATTCTTTTAGTACTTTATGAGATAAATCATTATATGAGTAAAATTTTGCAGTATCTGTTCAAGCTATAGGAGGCAAATAAGACTTTAAACACCATTGACACACACTAATAGTTCAACTTTTTTTTTTTTTTTTTGGTAGACTCATATAAGAAAAAAATGCTGTAATTCTTTTACTCTTCTTGGTATTTAAAATTTCAGCCTTTGGACAAAGCTGGTTTCTGGAGGTCCAAAAAGAATTTGTCCCAGAAGTCTCTGTCATTATCACTGTCCCTTCATAATCCTTTAAAGTTAGGGGAATGGCTTATCTTAAACTAGTTTTAATAATCCTTTAAAGTTAGGGGAATGGCTTATCTTAAACTAGTTTTAATGTGCTGATTGTTTTCCTTAAATCTCTTTTAAACCAAAACCATCCATAAATCATTGCCCACATCTGTGAGGCATGAAGGTTTTGAGATGCTACTATCTGAAGTCAAATTGCTTTAATGCCTGTGCAGAATTGATCTTAACGTGTTTCTTAATGGGCAATAGATTTCTGCAAGTTGTATATGGAATATACATATACATGTATATGTCTTATATATGTATATGTCTTTACATAAAGAAACCAGCAGCAAATATTTCATTATCAACAGACACCACCAAATGATGTACCTCCTCCTAAGAAAAAATACAAGTAAAATTCATTAATGAATAGTTGTTTTTAATTATTTTTATAAATAACTGTATAAATAAATGTTACTTCTGTGTTGTGTACGCTAGCTTCTTTGCAGTATGTAAATGAAGATTTTTTTTTTTCTGAACTGTTGTTTATACGAAGCATCAAGAGTATTACTGTCTCCCAACACCAAGGGAGCACCAGACTTGTCATTTATAGGTTAATGTTCCAAAGATTAAGAAAACTTTTAAACAGAATTAAGAATAACTCTAAGTCTTGCAGACTTTTAATCAAGTACTTTACAACTATGAATATTCTTTGTATTGCAGGAAGCTATGGAAAGTTTTAAACGAGCCACAAAGCTCCTGATCGCTTCAGGAAGAACCCTACCTAATACATTTGAGGCTGCAGAAATGTATTATCTTATAGGCCTGTGTTATATGGAGCAAGTACGCTTATTGCAGGTTAGTATCAGTTATACAGACTTTGTTGATCTTTGAATTTACTCTCTGAAAACAACAGCTACAAAAGCTGAATAAAAGATTTTACTATATTAAGCAGTCTCCACTGCCTTTAACAAACCTTTTGCTCATGATGCCAGATGTGAATTCATGCCAATGTTTTTATTTCAATATTTTACTTAATAGGATTCAATTTTTGATTTATTAAAAGGTTCTAGGTTGAAATTATTTGAATTATCAGAATTTCATTGGCCTGCAGAACCATTTCTTGCCTTGTTTGCCTCTAAATCTGACAGTCATAATTGATATTCCTTTGGAAGAAAGCTGTCGGAAGCATCTGAAATGTTTAATGTGGTGGCATATGACAGTCACAAAAGGCGACTTTCTGTGTCAATGCAGGCCTGGCATTATAGCTGTGGAGCCCAGAAAAGACCATGACTTTGTAAGCTAATGTGCAGTGCACATTAGTTGGATTTCAAAAGATTTGTAGGTTAACCAGTTTGTTGTCTGTTGTAATAAATAACCTCACTATCTCAGCTCTTCACAGGCAGAAGACCATGTTTGGTAAAACCTTTGCAGTCTCACTGGAAAAAAAAATTCTTAAATGGATTAGAGTGTACCCCAGTGTGATTATTATACTGTTTAGGGAATTAAATATTACAGAATTTTTAGTAGTAGTAAACAGATAAAAAACACTAAAAAGCAATGCAGATGTATGTTGAGTTCCAACTGCATAAATTAGGATTATTTACAAATCAGTCAGTTAAGCAACTGCCTATGGTTTAAACTATGTATGAAAGTGTCAGGTTTAATCTAAATGATATACTTTCCCTCTAGGCCTGTGATGCTTTCACTACGGCGATCAGACTGCATTCAAGCTATCCTGATGCTTTCTATCAGCGAGGGCTGTGTAGAATGAAGCTCGGCCAAGCTAAGTGCATCCAGGATTTCAATCGAACACTTGCACTTTGTCCGTCACATTTCCAGGTAATATGAAGACTCCTGGGTTCTGTGAGTCACTTCATAATGAGCTCAAAGAATGAGACATTCTGCATTTATTGGTATACTGCTTATAATGTGCCAGCTAGTGTGTTGCTCGTGTTTTTTTTTTTTCTGAATGTCAGATATAAGAATATCAGAGCACATTCTTCATCTTGCTGAAACTATTTTTGCTTCAAAGCAGCTTCAGTGATTTCTTTTAAAGAATAATTTACTCATCATTTGGGCTTTTTCTTCTCTTTTTTTTAGTATGTGTTTGCCTCTTTAATAACCTTTCTTTGGATTTTTTTTTYCTTTTCAAATCCAAAGATTTTTCCTACATTCAGTTTTTAGCTCATTTGTTTGAACTCTTTTTTTGTTTCAATATTCTTGCTACTTTTCTTTGCTGTTATTGATACATCCTACATTTTTTTCTCATATGAATATGGTTCACAAGATCATTTTTTTTAATGAAACTTAACATTTTTTGCTTTAATATCTGTCYACTGTAAAAACACCAACTTTTCAATGTTGTAGCACATTACCATACTGTCTCTATTTCTACAGGCATATATGAGTCGTGCTGTTTATTATGGAAGTAAARGCAGATACTCTAAGGCAATTCTGAATTGTAATGAGGCTCTCAAAATTAATCCTAACAGTGTGAGAGCTTATTTTTACCGAGGACTTTTAAAGTATCAAAACAAGGTAGGAATATCGTTTAGTGTTGTATATTTCAGTGTAACACACAAGTCCAGTTCATCTGGATTGAGAATCTACATGGAACATAAAGCAGGACTGCATAGATGCAGACTGAGCTGATGATAGAGGAGGGTGTCTATATCTCCCTTTGATAATCTATCCTACTTTAGTCCCAAGCGGTGGTAAGAGCTTTGCAAACTAGTGTTGCTGTGAAAGGAAGAAATTCTACTTGATTAACTTTTTGATTTAGTTGAACTCTAACTTTATTGCTTTCCCTTTGAAGCCACTTTCTGGTTTTGCTAATGAAATGAATGGTTGATAATGTATTGCATTAAATGAATATGATATAAGCAAATACTAAGAATGTGGGGTTTGTCCAGATAAAGTTTCTGCAAAACTGAAGAGAACTGCAGTAACTAGTCCATAATTAAGGTCCTAAAAATAGTAGGATGCTTTCCAATGCTGAATGTAAACCAAAAACTGAAATCAAATTTTACAATAGGCTATTATTTAAGCAAGAATATGTAGTGCTGTGAATTGTGAATTATAATTTATACAATGTGTTTTTGCATGTGCAGACATATAAGGTTGCAATTGAAGATCTTTCTAAAACTATAGACCTCAACAAATCCTGCATTTTGGCATATTATAATAGAGCAGTCTCTTATCATCAAATAAAGGATTTCAGAAAGGTATGGTATTCATCTTTCAACATCACATGATCACTCATGTTCATAATAGCTGTTTATTGACAGTAAATCAGAATTCTAATCTCTTACAATTTCTTTCTGAATGAGATGTTCAAGAAATTGTTTTCAAGAGTTCCCTCCCTCCCTCCTTCCCTCCCTCCCTCCTTCTTTACAGTCATATTAATTACACATTGATATCCCTTGAAAAATCTAAGGACTAGATCCAGGAGAAGGCATTATCAAAATTGTGATTTGTTGAACATGAAATCTCATTCACATATTTCAACTTCTGTTGACTTGCCAGTCAACTGTCCCTAAAAGTTTCTGCTTCCTAGTTTTATCATATGCCAAAGGCACAAGAGAACACAGATAGGCAAAACTTTGGGTGGTGAAAAAGCTCATGCTGAGTTATGTTTTTCATGAGGAGAGAAATCTACTAGATTTAACTATTAGATTTTTTTTTTCTATAAAGCTGATTCTAGATTTGAAAGTGTTAAGGAATAGGACTTCCTTAAAGTGGCTAGTATATGGAATGCTATTCTCAAAGGCCTTTTTGTGATGTTAGCCCTAAACTCTCTAATTGCCCTTACTATACTGTGAAAAAAAAAAAAAGTAAAATTATCAGGTGAAAAAAAAGAGACTATAGTTCTTCAAATATTGTTGGAAAATACTGTTCAGTTTTAATAACATTGTGAACTGAGGCTTTTCCTGTCTACAGTTGACCAAAACCTGGTTAATGTGTCTAATTCTTAGATTTCTCAATAATAATTTTATATAAATTATATTTTAAAAGTTCCTTGTTTTGATATTATATCCTGATTAATTGATTTAGAATCATCAAAAAGCAAAGTCTTAAATTAAAATGTGGACATAACATTCTAATTCTGAAATGCATGTGACTACAAAAAAGGTCTTAATTATGCCAGGATTTAATATATTTGTATTTTCTTTGCTACTGTACTCTAGAAGGGGATATATATGTAATCATAGAGGGTTCCAAATACAGCTAAACTCAATCTGCAAACATTGAAATGTATCAAACTGAAGCTAGTGCATATGATATGTAGGAATTTGAAAGTTTAATTTCTAAAGTATCATTTCGTCCCCCTGAATAAGTTATTGCTTAAAATATATGTTATGTCTTTTAGGCTTTGAAAGATTATGGAATTCTTCTTTTGCTTGAACCAAATAAGAAAATAATTTTTAAAGTGTTAATTAATCGTGGACTACTCTATGTGGAACTTGGTGATTATTCTAATGCATGTGAGGTATGGAATCCTTCTGGTTAACAGGAAATTTAGATTTTTTTTCTGACAGATTTATTCCATTGCTGTTATGAAGACCAATCTGCCGTTTTTTGCTTTCTTCTGAAGCAGTCTGTGCACAATTCTTATTTGGTTAAACACTTAATGGTGCTCTGGCAGCAGAGTGCAAATATACTGCAGTTTTACCTGTTCTGCAATAAATTTGTATGGGAAGTCGAATRTGGGAATTGTACAAAATTTAATAAGCAAGAACTTGATTGTTCTTTTTTAATATTGAAAAAATTGTGTTTAGTGCAAGTGCATATAAACTCACAGCAGAAGCCTGTGTAAAGGRAGGATTCTGATTAAGTCACCTATTCTCTTATTCTATGTGTGTGTGGGAATAAATGACCATCTTTCTTGAAATGGAAGAAAAAATTAAGTTAATTTTCTTGAAGTATGTGATCCTGAAACTGGCTCACAATGTAGGTGGAATTCCAGCAAGTGAGACACCTGTTATAGCAATAGCTGTCTTGAGATCTAACAGGGCTAAACATCACTTTTTCAAACCTATGTTTTTTTCTTGTTTAAAAAAAAACCAAGAAGTTTTTTAAAAGTTAAAATTTTAACTTTTTAAAAGTTTGAGTTTTTATTTTCTTTAAAGCAAAGTGTTTTTTTTTTAATATAGCTGAGGAAAGTGGAGGCATTTGTTACCTCCTTTGTGGTCTAATAACTAAACTTTGATATCTTTGTGATGGGATATCATGAATTTCAGCATAGGCAGCCTAAAAAAAGAGTAATTCTTCTTATTTCCAAATATAGRTTGACAAATGAATATGAATCCCATTCCAGTGACTCAGAAATGTTCTACTGGAAATCTGTGACAAGAGCCCTTTACCATTGATAGAGCTTGCATAGAAATAAATGAAATAGAGCTATTGTTATATTCGTCTCTCTCTCATACTTCAAGATGCAATTGATCAGAATAGCTCAGATGAGAGTCTGAGATGATGCAAGATAAGGGCAGTGAAAGGAGACTGGAGGTTTCTGGAAATGGGGCAGAACCAGTAGAACTGGCAAAAATTTCTTTGAACAGATTGTAGAGAAGACAAATTTACAAACTGATGGTTGAACAATAGACACAAAACCATTGCGCCTAATTTAAGGAAGGAAGCAGATAGAAATGTGCTTGGCACACAAGGCATTCATTCTCAGTCAGTTTTGTCAATGTGTTATTGCAAGAAATATACCTGTAYACATGCATAGTACTTGTTGAATTAGAATATAGCTGTTTTAAGCAGGGATTCATGCTAACTGAGTTGAATATATTCTAATACGATTTTGGTGCACTGGAAAAAAACAGAAAAAAAATGTACTTTAATCTATAGAAGAAATGAATTGCTAAAAGGGGCTGCCTGTCTTGGTAGATTGTGGTAAGTGTGGAGTAACCTGTCAGGATAGCACCTTTGGCTAAAGTTAGCCAAACTTAATCTTTAGAACTTGGATCCTGCTTTTGCTCTGCTCTCTATGCAGAGCAGAGAGTATAGTTCAAGTTGCACATACCAAGAATCCTCTTTCCTTTGTTGGGAAGTCTTTGGAAGGCTTTGGTGGCTTGGAGCAGTGTGTCTCAGTAGTTTTTCAGAGGCAGACCTRTTATTTTACCATACCCATTTGAACAATCAAAGAATTATTTTGTAGCTGTAATTCATGGATGCATCAGCTAAACCACTTCTGTAACATCCTGATTGCTTTGCCATGCAGAGACCTAAAGTGCTTCCTTATTCATAACTGATTTTAAAAGTACCTGTACACTTTTTCTGTTGAATCACATATCACAGAATATGTTAAAATTRCATATATTAAAACATATATTAAAATTGTATACATTTYCACAGAATCACAGAATGGTTAAGGTTGGAAGGGACCTCTAGAGATCGTCTAGTCCAACCCTCCTGCTCCAGCAGGGACGCCTAGAGTGTGTGGCACAGGGYGGCATCCAGGCGGGTTTKGAAGATCTCCAGARAAGGRGACTCCACAACCTCCCTGGGCAGCCTGTTCCAGTGCTCGGTCACCCYCACAGTAAAGAAGTTCYTCCTCACCTGGAGACGGAACTTCCTGTGCTCCAGCTTATGGCCATTACCCCTTGTCCTGTCACTGGCCACCAATGAGAAATTGGCCTCTTCCTCCCTGCATTCTCCCTTCRTGTACTTATAGATGTTAATCATATCCCCTCTCAGTCTTCTKTTATCCAGAGAAAACAGGYCCAACTCGCTCAGTCTCTCCTCATATGAGAAATGTTCCAGTCCTTTAATCATCTTTGTTGGCCTCCACTGGACCCTCTCTAGAAGCTCCACRTCCCTCATATATTTATATATATTTTGACAAATATTCTGCATGTTAGTAAAAGTAAAAACTTAAAGGTCTTGGAAAAAAAAGTTATTTACAGAAAATATTATCATGAAAGTAATCAGATTTTTTTTTACTGGAACAGTAATATTGAAATTGCATATAGTTAAATATGTTCAATATGTATACTTAAAAATAATGACTTACATAGATATTGAAACATATAAATCTTTGTTCTTTCAAGGACTTCAAAGCAGCAGCTTTGCACAGTCCATTTGATAGTCAGATCTTCCAAGCTATTGGAATCTGCTATCACAGGTAAGACAGGTGGTTTTGTTTGATGCAGAGTAGGGATTGGGAGCAATTATTGAACTCRATGCTCTAGCACAGCACATTGAGAACTCAATATTGAGCACACTGAGAACAGGAAGAAAAGTAAGTACCTGAGAGGAATGGRAAAAAAAAAGAATAAATTAAGTATCTTTCAAATTTAACAACTAAAATTAAAATTCCCTTTTTGGAACTTTTGCTTCTGATAGAATCAAAAGAAAATAGGGCAATAAAATAGATCCAGGAAAATAACTGAAGAACAAAGAATTATGGGAGATAAACAGAGATATAAATCCCTGCCCCTAAAGCAGAGTGGAAATAATATAAAGTTGGGTTACTTTGTTCAAAGTTAGTTAGGATACAGCTTCTGATTAGATCTGCACTTTGCGCTTTAAAGCGAAGCAAAAGCCTCACTGTTTTTCATTGCATTATTTTTTTGTTTTGACATTCCAAAATATAATTTCATCAAAATGAAATTTATTATTAAAGATTACATTTATTAGATCATTAAAATAAATAAAATTTGGAAGAATTAAGTACATCAGTATTTTAGTCTATTTATCATGGTGACAGCTGGAATCTGTAAATGATCATCTTGGAAAATAGTAACTATGATATAATAGAAATGTTTATATCTGTGTGCCAATTAGTTTTATCTATTTTATTATAGAGTTTCTCTATCATCTATCATCCGCATAGATGTCATCCACAGACCCATACCACTCAGCTACAGCCCATTTTAAGATTCATCCCACAACCTCATGTGTTCTTGACTGCCCATCTACATATTTGGCATGATGTCCTGACTTGTTCTGGTGTAAAGTGCTGTGCTTGAAAAAAGCCTTTGGTTTATAACCCTTAAACCTATATGTCAGCATATAAATTTAATCTTTTGTCTTTTCATAAATAAATCTAACCATGCTCCAGTTAGAATCTGGAAATTTAGCTTGTATTAAAACATCTTCTTATCTTACAGTGTCTTCTTGATTATATGACTCTGTACCTGTTAATATTTTTACTTTATATGTGAAGAAAAATACTAGCATTCTTTGGTATTTAGTTTGTTAAATGCTTTTAGTTCCTTACTGGTATACTCTAAATGTATAAAGTTTTGTATCTTTATCTAAGAGATACAGAATTCTACAGATGGCTACTCCTAGACAGAATAATCTGTGTCTGAGCATAAGCTTTTTTTACCCYGCAAGTTTGAATATGCTCAAAAGCTGGTATGAGGGAAAAAAAACAGAAGGAAGGCATATATTAGAAGTAAATTATTTATGGTCAGAACAGTTGTGTCTGAATAAACTAACAAAAAAGCATGGGTGGTGATGACATTTGGATAGCATGAATGGCTCAGATGAAATCTACATTAGAATCTGCTGAGTACAAATGTTGAAAAAGTAAAAACTTGGCCCAGCAAAAGTTAATGAGACTTGCTGTTTTCTTCACTGGGCTAAGGATTTCAAAATACAGGATCTTAGACCAACTGCATTCACTGATATAATAAACATTAGGGAAGCACATATAGAGAAAACAAAACTAAGAGAAAGAAAAGATTTTGTCTGTTGGTAAGAATTGAGCTGCTTTCTGAGGAAATTATGTGGTAGTACTTGCTGATCATTCATAAGCTGAGAACATTGCTTATAAGATAGGTAAAAAGGTAAGCAAAGCTAATACTCATAACTCTATTTTTAGAATTAATGAGTTTGAAGAAGCTGTGAGGTCATTTAACCAGGTTCTCAAACTAGACCCCCTTTCTGTGGATGCTTATGTTGAAAGAGGAAATTCGTACATGGAAAATGGACAAGGGCCTGATCGTAAACAAGCACAGAAAGACTTCTTGAAAGCACTTCACCTGAATCCAAAGTGTGTGAAAGCCAGAATTTGCTTAGGATACAACTTGCAGGTAAAAATCTTATTGTCAGTAATATGCATAATCAAGATAAAAATAATTTTGTATGTATGTATTTATACAATGTAGATCTAAGGGACTGATAGGATAAAATAATCCATATGTTAAATGGTGACTCTCATGGAAGCTCCTTTTGTTTAAAATAAATGAGCAGACTATTATTCTTTTTTCACATTTGTGCCTAATCTTGTTAGATATTTGCTCTTGAATATAGTGGCATATCAAATAACCTTACATTCATTTGATTCACATTTATAGTGCTCTGATTAAGTAAGCACTATGATTTTTTTCATGGGTATGAGCTATTTACTGAAACAAAAAGTGGCCAAAATTATTTTGACAAAACTGTGTGTGTGTGTATATTATATTTTGTAAGTTTATATATGTGTGTGTGTGTGTTTTATATATATATATATATAAAATATATATATATATAAAAAAAATACACATACACACACACATATATATAAACTTACAAAATATAATGCTAGCAAATCTGCTAAAATTCCTTGGAAAAGGGCATGTGTATAATAATCTCTAAAAACTATTTAATGTATTCAAAAATGATCAGTCCTGTACTAACAGAGGGGTGTGTAATGACTTATCAGATTTTTTTTTGGTCTCTATATAATTCCTATGGTTTTCTTACTGTGCATTATACTACCTGATTTCCTGAAATATCTTGAATTGTGAATGTTGTGAATTTTTTTCAGTGAGGGGCTAATGTTGGGTGACCAGTGTTGGGTCATTTTGGATAAGTTTCATGCAAATTTCCTTTTACAGCTTTGCCAATGCAATTGAATTCTAATTGATACTTTTGCAGTGTTTAATTAAGTGTTAAGCAATAGAAAAACCTACAGTTACTGCCTTGGTGAGTAACAAGATATAGGTAGGAATTAGACACGTTAGATACAGGTGGCAGCCCAGAAAGCTAATACTGTTGTATGTGCTTAATTGAGATGCCTAAACTCATACAATACTTTTTCTATAGTCTGATTGTGCCTTTGTACTTAAATATAAGAACATGTGTATTGTTGTAGTTAACAAGATGGCCTTCACCCTTAACTTAATCAATCTGTAAAGTAGGTAAAGCGTTTACATTTTGATTATGGTCCCAAGAGCCCTACTCACCCCGAATCTATCACTTTCTCGATGGTGCAGCATCCTTCCTGAAGTATAGTATGCCAGGGTTCCATTTAAGTATATGTTTGAATGTGCTTTCTCGCAACCATTTTATGATTCTATGCTAGAGAATATGTAATATTACAGTTAAAGCAGCTGTGGCAGATACACACTTACAAGGAGAATGGGTATTGCACAATTAACAAGGGATTTGAATGCATTTTTTTTTCTTGCATTTTAGCTAAGTGCTTTTATACATATAAACATGCTTCTGCTCTAAATTAGTATGTTGCTTGGCATTTCATATGCTTTATTATTGTGGACCTACTGCAATTCATTTTAGGCCCTTGGAAAGTTTCAAAAAGCTTGGAACCAATTTACAATTGCTATTGACATTGATCCAACATGCCATGCTGCTTATGATGGACGAGCTTCAGTCTGTCTTCGGATGGGTGAAACTTTTGCTGCATTTCAAGATACAAATGCTGCATTAAAGGTAAATATTAGCTTAATATGATTTCACAAAAATGAACTCGTTATAAGACCAGTCCATGCTGTATATGAAGAGCTGACAATTTGTATTAGAAGGTGCAATTGCATTTTTAATGAATGTATCTTTGAGAAACAAAGTTACAGTAAAAATGTGAACTAAATAAGCATGTGTCTGTTGTGATCTTTCAGCTCACTACCACTGCAGCACTGCTAACAAATCGTGGCATTATCAACCAGTTTATGGGACACCTATCTTGTGCCATGAGGGACTATCAAAATGCAATTTCTGTTGATCCTAATTATGCCTTAGCCTATTTCAATGCAGGAAATATCTACTTCCGCAATCGACAGTTTTCACAGGTAATTCTCTCCATACCTTCTTCAGAACTGCTTTCCTTGTATAAATACCCTTGATACCAAACTACTTACAAATATAATTATCTTGAACTTTTCTTTCATTGAATTTCATAGCTTTTGTCTTCTAATGGGAGATAAATTTATCTGTAGCAATTATTAACTAATAATTATCCTACTTCTGGCCATTTTATTATATATATATATATGTATGTGTGAACTGAAATTCATGACAGTTATGATGAGCGTTTTGAAAATCTATAAATAATTGAGATACTTAAATTCTCCTGTTATTTCAGTAAAACCTACTTAGGTCTCATAGCTGCCTTGTAAAGTATGGCAAATTGAGACTAAATAATTTGCCCAGATTCACTATGGCACCATGAGAAGAAAACAAAAAGAATCTCCTGCTGGTAAGGCTTAAATCAAGAAGTTGGATCCTTCTCCTGTTGCCACTGTAATTTCAGTTTTAAATCACATAATGATTTAAATACAGCTTAAATACAGTGGGGATAATCAAATAAAAAAGAGTTGGACACTGAAATTCCTGTTGCAAAGAGACTTGAAAAATTGCTTGAAGGCAAGGACCATTTATTTCTCTCTGTCTGAGGAAGTCTCAGCACTGATTTATCCTTTGGTATTTCTGTCACACTTCCTGAGCAAAGGCTGAGGATTGCTCTTTTATTTGATTGGAACTTTGTGGTTCAGCAGCTGTGGAAACCCAGGCCTGGTGCTGATGTTTCAGCACATTTCGTTTACTCAAATTAATTCTCTCCTGGCTTTGCATCTGTAAGCAATTCAGCTTGCAGTATATGTACCGAGGTGTTCATTATGTACACGCTTGGCGAAAGATTCTAAATGTAGGCAATTTGTCTTCATTCAGCAAAAGAAATTGGTGTATGTAGAGGAGAATGGTTTTATGTTCTGATAAGTTTCTTCGAGTCAGATGCTGTGAGGATTAGGCTTGAACCAGAAATCCCTAAGGAGTGCATGATCAGTGCTCTGCATACGGCTTCTCCTGCAATCTTGTAATTTCTTTTTCTTCTCCATCTAGTATCATTTTTTCATGATTGGTCTTCCAGAGGCTGTTTTTCCTCTTCTGCTTCTCTGATTTCTTACTCTACTCTGAAGGTGTCTCATTATGAAGATGTTCAAGAATACGTGTTGCATTATAAATTCATATTCTAGCTTAATTCAAATTGTATGTATTATGTACATTCAAATCTTATTAGTAATGTAGCTCATTTCTTCTGCAATATAGTTGTGATTCATCATGAGCAGATATTCTCCAAAAGTCTATCTGGGAGTTGATAGTATATTTATCTATTTGTGGATAGACATGCTRGTGCTGTACCTCTCTCTTCTAGGCACAAGGAACATTAAGCAGAATGAATAAAGATTTACGAACATAAATAATTAAAAAAAATAGAATTTTTATTTTTAATAGAAAAAAATAGAAGTAGAATTATCTACTTCCTTGATTTTAAAGGTGTGTTTTATCTTTGTGTATTTTGTAGGCCCTTGACTATTATTCCAAGGCATTACAACTTGAGCCAAGAAACGAATCTGCTATTATAAATCGTGCTATTACAAATACAATATTAAAAAATATTAAAGAAGCAGARGAAGACTTTGAGAAGGCAGTTTCTCTGTGTCCGTTCTCTGCAGCAGTGTATTTTAACAGGGCAAATCTCTATTATGGATTAAAGCAATATGATCTAGCTGAGAAAGACATTTCAACAGGTAATCTTTATTTACTGGGCCTGATTACATTTGGTAGAATACTAACAATTATGAGAACAAATTACTTGTTGAGTAATAGTTATATTACTCAACTATTAAATAGTTGAGAAAGTAGCTTTATTTTGCTAGTGTATTTTCTATCTACGATGAGAAGATGATGTTATTAAAAAGAGGAAGTTAAGTAAATTTGCTATTACTTTTTTTCATTCTCAAAACTAATAAGAGTATGCAGGGTAGGAGAGAAAGCGATTTGTATATTGTGTWTCAAAGCAGCTGAACAGAATCCTGCTTTTAAATGAAATTGTATCAAGAAGTTGTGGAAAAACACTATACTTAAAACGTCTGGGGAATTTGGGCATGTTAAAAAATCTAGGTGACTGGAAAAGAGCATACAGATTGCTTGTTTTATATACAAATGTGGGATTTCATGAATGTGTTCTATGCATAACAAGTTTTGTAAGAGCATTTGGCTTTCGTAAGCCAAAGTTATTTTGAGTATATTCTTATGAAGTACCTGAACATGAATCAATTCTTTCTCATACTGCCTTTCACATGATTGAGGTGATATTTTTATGTTGGGATTAGACATGGTTGTTAGAGAACAAGAACTGAAATAAAATTTTATCCTAATCTTAGTAGAATACAAAACTTTAATTCAAATAACTAAGCTATATTCCTCCCATTACTCCTGCTTACGTTGCTGTTGGCACCAGATTCAGCTGCCTTCCAAGGATTCCTCCCCATATCCCATATAAYAGTTACAGGTTTCTGCTCTTAGATTTTGCATCTGTTTTCAAGGAAAGCATAGTTTCTACTGTTGGGGAAAATTTAACTGGGAATCATAAATAMAATCAAAAAAGTAAAAAAGAAAAAATCTGAAGTATAAATATTATAACAAAGTTGCTTACTTTTTGATGTAAATTTAATTAGTCTGATTTCCATTTTTTCTTATGAGCACATGTTTGGAAAGATTTTGGGCACTTACATGAACTTCTAGTACATGTTTATCTGAGAATCATATAATAACGTAAAAACAAATGCCTAAATATCTTTTTTTTCTTTTATAGCGTTGTCAATTCAGCCCAATGATGCCTTGATGTATAAATTTAGATCTGATATTCGTGCTAAACTGGGTTTCAGGAAAGAAGCTTTAGATGACTACAAACAAGCAATCAGCATTCAAGAACAGATTAATTCCATGTGAAAAGATATCAGTGCTAATGTAACATGGTTTCAATTGACTGATTTCTCAGATTGACGGTTAAAAAAAATTCTTTGGTGCAAGAAAAAAAATTATTAATCTATCTTTATTCTCATATATTCTGTACGCATTTTCGATTTTCTAAATGTCCCTGATTCAGTGCAAAAGGAGCCAGAGATATTTAAGATGCTGCATTTAATTTTTATGAGCGTTAGGTCATTCTTTATTTGTTGAGGCCAAGAGAAAATTGGTTGTGTCATGTGGAAAATGAAGGAGAGGTGAGAGGAATTTATAAGCAAAAGGCCTCAACTGTACTGATTATAAAAGGAGGAAAAAGACTAAGTCTCCCCAAATTTAAATGCTTACAATAATGGTGATTGATAGGTTGATTGATAGCTAATTAAGAAGTTCCAGGTCACTGGAAACACCTTGGAAGTAACAGTTCAGCTGCCAAATGCTGGTGATCACCCACCAAATCTCACTTTCTTCCTCATCTTTTTCCTCATCTTCTTAAGTTTTCCTATTCCCTCCCAGTAACATCATAGGGCGAAGCCCTTGTTCCAGGTATATTTTTTGCTGTGTGTGAGAACTACTCCAGCAACAGGGATTTGAGGAGCACATATTTTGGGTTGTGAATGAGATGATGAAATTACTTGCTTCTCTTTAAATATGTTACACTATTACATTTTGATGGGACGGGTGAAAATGTGTAAAGAGATCAAAGTTCTGTGTTCTAAGCTCTAAGAATGAGCTTGAGGAACAAGTTTCAGCTGATTCTTTTTTCCTGATTATTGATCTAAAGCAGGAGATTGAAATGTGAATCTGTGTGACCAAAATTAAAAAAAAAAAATCAATCCCTATCCCTGTATTAAATTAAACCCACCAAATGTATTCCGGTTGTAATGTACATTTGTTATCTTGTCATGATGACTTTGTTTTGGTCGCAGAAAAGGAAAGAAGAAGCAATCTTAAGGTCTCATCCAGAATGGGAAAAATCTGGGGGTTGCAGAAGATGGGAAGATTTTTACAGGTATAAATGACACTTCTGTGCTTAATTCCGGTGACACAGGCATTAGATATATAACCTCTGTTTAAGCTTAGATTTAAAATGTTACCAATTTTTCTCTTGAAAGGGGAAAAGGAAGAGTGAGGGGGACTTTCAGAACAATAAATCTAATACACACTGATCTGTGCCTGTAACAGCATAATCTTCTGTATGTGGATAACAGAATAGTTTGCAATAAAATGAGAAGTGAATAATATAATTCATATGGAATGTATATCTAAGAATCTTACAGGTCCATATAATTTTATACCTGACCTTTTTTGTAATGTTTGACATTTATAAAAGATTTTTTCATTTATGTGCTATTGAGAAGTAAAAAATCTTGTCATTGCTTCRTCTCAAAAAATTGCCTTTTATTTTCTGTTTAACACACTGCTATATGCTATTTCTATACGTTATTTCTGCATAATACCTTTTCTTGCATGCCTATGCAATGTATGTTTAATTTATGTGACAGATAGTGATTGGAATCTTAGTTTTGTTTTGATATCTAGATTTTTGCATTTATATTATCTCATTACATTGTATAAGTTCCTATGCCTTTCACCTGCTTTGATATCTGAAATGAAAAAATTACTGTGGAAAGGAAATTCAGAATATCATAGGTAATGAACGATAACTCAGTAAAGCATTGGACTCTATCCCTGTTCTGCTTGATTCTCCTCTTATCTTGCTGTTCAGTAATATCTAGCATGATGAGGTTTTGCACCTAGAAGATCTGTCATAATATGGTTGACTGAAATATATACTTCATAGTTAAGAAGCATGAAAGCTAGAAATATCTGTTACAAAAATACTTCCTCTTTAGTTGTTGTTCATGATTAGTATCTCTGTTTATAATGAGCATTTATGAATATAAAAGCTAAATTAAGATATTTAGAGGTTATAGGATGTCGCATATTAGTATTTCTTTCTAGTATTATATATATGATTTCTATTAATAGAAATCTATTTGGTATGACAGTTTTTCTTAAAATCAAATTATAATGTGTGACCATGGGAAGATCAAAAAGTAATTTATATTTTTTTGTTCTCTAGTAATTTGCAATAAAATATTTCCTAGCAATAGCYTTTAGAAGTTTTAGTATTACCACAGTAAACTACAGTAGGAGAAATGATACAGATGACCATGATACACAACAGAGAGAAATTATTTGTGATAATTACAGAATTAAAGCAGAAGAACTATATCAGGTCTGATTAAACCATTGTAATTGCACACCTTCCTGTAATGAATATTGCTCTTCAGAGATTTTACTTTTGTGTCTTCCTTGTTGACTGTTCTGCTACTAAAAAGGAGTTTGTGAAACCCAAGGATAACTTTATAATTAAGTTTACTGTTATTCTCCTCTTGTTCTATTTTCTTTTTATTTTTAACTCATTTTGAGGCATCATGACATAGCCAAGTGGTTTAACTTTAATGGACAAAGTATGTGGTATACAAAGTATACATGCAGTTATATTTCCATGTGTGATTGTCTGTGGGAGTTATTTACTAATTTCCTGTATATACACACAATCTAAGCTTGCAAGATGGTGCCAGTGTCATGCAGAAATATGGTGTTTTTGCTCCTTTTCTGTTTCCCTGCATTCCTCTTTCAGTTTTATCTGAAGAATTGTTTATTGATGAAATTGCTAAATTATGCATGATTCTATGGCCTTTTCCTTTCTTTGACCTCCTTATGAATTACTTGCTGGGTTGTGAGCTAGCGATACCCTCATCATGTATAGTGCATCATCAAAGTTAAATCAGAATGGAGAGAGGTCAAACCTGTCTGGTGAAATCTTTTCTTGCACCACTCACAGTAGGTGTTCTTTAGTTTAACTTTTCTTGAATGTTAAAAACTTTTTATCTTTACATTTAAAAACTGAGCAATCTGATACAATCTCTTTTACCAAAAACTGATACAGTCCGTTATGACCCACTGTTGGTGTAGTGAATTGATATAAATAATATGGGCTTTTGCCATCTCTCCTCTGCCTACCGTAACTGTGTATATATTTTATAAAAATATATACATTTATATACATTTTTATATATATTTATAAAAAAAAAATATAAAATTCTGGATAGTGTAGATTTTTTTCCCCCTAATCCTTAAAATCTGCATATTTATTAATTCTAGATGGAGGATTGCTTTTATAGTTTTTCAGCTACTACGCAAGGCCAGGTAATGTGTGGTGTCCCATTCTGTTTTCAGTTTCATCGCTTAGCATCACTCTCATTAGCAAATCAGTGATTGTGTTAGATGCTTTTTAAAGCAAAATGGGAAGTAGATGGAGAAGTTGCTTGCACAATGGAACATGAAAATATCAAGTTGCACCGTCAAACCTTACAGCTCTTTTTTTTTTGAAAATAAATTATAGACTCTCTTTTTAGCTCTTTAAATTTCCTAGAGGAAATTTTATATTCTTAAATGGTCCTTAAAAGCCAGTAAAAATATTTTGTTGAGCAGCAATTCTTTTATAAATTAGATTAATTGTATTCTGAAATTCACTCTTCTTGAGATTATCCTCAAATTACTTCCATTGCTACTTGGAGGTCTGGCAAACTTTGATACTGTGAATTATCAAAGTAAATTTGCTTTCCTGTTTATTGAGAAAAGAGGGAAGAGATACAAAGCTTTCTCAATTTTATTTTATGAATGCCAGTCAAGCAAAAACTACAGATTTTAAAAAGGTTTTCTCAAGACTTATTTTTTTCTATATTAATACAATTTCATGGTAATATCTAACTGTTCTAATCAAATTACATAAATAATTTAATGTTATAACTGAAATAGATCTTTATGTATATGTAGTTCTATATCCCTAAAAGAATATCTCACTTGTTTTATTCCTCTTTCTTTTACTCCTCTTTCTTCTACCTTAAAACACTGATAATAGATGTATTGCAGGAAAGTAGACTATATTGTTTGCTTAGCAGAAGATGGCATTAGATGCCTTGGGAGGAAGCCGTAAAAACAAAGACCTAAGAGATTATTTTCATTTGGCTCTCAATAAGTAAATAGGGAGTTATAATAATCTCTCACAAAATAGTAAGTTATGTGTATGCATGTTTCAGCTGAAATGTTAAAACGTATAAAACATATACACATATAAAAAATCCAATCTTTTTGGATGGAATGCATCATGAAAAGTGTGCTAAAATAGATCTTTCACTACCTCCATTGAAAACTTAAAAAACATGGTACTTCTTAAACGGGAATATATTTTAAGTTTATAGAAGAGTTGCTTTTCATTTGTTATTTAGTAGATCTGTGTCCGAAGTTACTAATTAGGACTTAGTTTCTGATCAGACCAAACCTAATGTATTTTACAACTCAAGTCAGGAAAAGAAAACCTCGATAGTGGCAGTGTAATTTCAGTTTAATAATATAATCTCAGAGGGAATGTGGGAATCAGTGTCTCAGTAAGCAGTGAGTGAAGATTCAAATTTTTCATTTTGTTCTTCCACAAACTATAAATGACAAATATTGACTGATTTTCTAGTGCCTTCAAGGTCTCTGTCTTCATAAAATAACTAGTTAAAAGTTCATTATAAAACTATCCTTTAAAATTCTTGATGAAAAATATTTCAGGTTCAGCTTCAAGGTGTGCATACTCTTACTRAGAAAGAGCATAATAAGAAAGATTAACATTAAAGTGGCATACCAAAAATTTTCATGACAGCAAACAGCACAAAAGGCTGAACACCAGTGTCAGTCGCTCTTCTTAGTTTTGGATAGTTTGTATGGATAAATGTTGTTTTCTAAAGAGAAGAAGGGCTTTGAGATAGGAAGCTTGAGAAAAAATAAATTTCTTTTTCCAATGAGGCATTTACAATAGAATAGCAGTCATTTCACAAAATGAATTGGTAGCTGGCACTGAAGACTCTATGGATGAGACACCAAATGGACAAGATTGACCTACTGATGAAAGTGAAAAACATGTGAAAGGAAACCCAACTATGTATTACTGTGATAGAAAATTAACTTCAGAGGTCCTACATGAATTTTTAGAAGAAAACCTGAAAGTGTTAAAGATGATTTGGGAAACTGCTTTATCAAGATGTTATGAAGGTAAATAGTC